TGATAGCATTTCTGTATGAATACAATTGGATAATGCTCCACAATCCCATTTTTTCTGTTCTGTTCAATTGTGTCTGATTCTCAGAGACTGTCTGGACAAGCCCCTGCACTTTTCTTGGCAAGGTTTTTCAGGAATGATTTGTCATTGCCTCCTTCCTGGGACTGAGAGAGAATGACTGGCCCAGGTAGCTTTGTGCCTAAAACTAGCTAGAACTCAGAATCTCCCAGTTTCTAGACTGATGCCTTAACCACTACACACTAGACTGGCCTGTGCATACCACCATGAACAAAAAACAGAAAATTAATAACTTAAAGCCTCTTCTATCATCATTGTAATGCTAACTCTACCAGGGAGATGGGCGATTAAGAATTTTGACACATAAAATAAATAACTGATAAAAATCCAGGAAATAGCTTGTAAAAAGCCATCTTCAGACTCCTCTGTTTTCAGTCAAAAGAACTATGACCACAGGAAATTTGCTATGAAAGTCCCTATGTAAACATTGGTTGTTTAGATGCCATCAAGTCATTTTCAACTCCTAGTGATCACAGAGATTTTTTTCCCATGACAATCTGTCACTAACCTGCTTTACCAGGTCTCCCAATGGTGCACTCATCATCACTATAACTGATGTCATCCATCTTGATGCTAGTCATCTTCTTTTTCTCTTATCTTCCACCTTTTCTAACGTTAGAGCCTTTTCTAAAGAGCTGAATCTTCACATAATATGATTGAAGTAAGATAATTTGAGCCTAGTTATTTATGTCTTAAGTGAGAACTCTGGATCATTTTGTTTGGTGATCCATCAGTTTGTTTTTTTGGGTGTTCATGATATTCTGAGGAGACTTTTCCAACACCAAAGTTCAAATACTCTTCCTATCCGGCCCAATTTTCACTTTAACATAGGGTTATCAAGAATATCATGGCTTGCATGGTTCTGATCTTTGCAGGTTTAGACACATCGTAGCATTTGAATTTCTTTTCCAAGGTTTTAATAGCTGCTTTACCAAATGGTGACCTGTGGTGTATTTCTTAACTGCTTATTCCTTTATGTTTGATGGTTGATTCTGAAAGGCAGAAGTTATATACCATTTCAATATTTTCATTGCCGGTTCTAAAGTTGGTTGTTATCGGAAGATAAATTAATTTTAAACTGAAATTCTCATCATAATTCTGTCCCTTTCATTTCGATAAATCTCATTAAAGAAGGTTTTGTGAGAAGCTTGCTTACGAGACATATTTTCAGTTTGGAGCAGCTGCCTAAACTTGACACTCACACAATGTTAAGGCAATATAAAACCTGTCTTAACTATTATTTTGATACAACAATACTTGAACAATTCTTGGGCTTTTTCTTCACTAGTCACTCATCACATCTTCTAGAATCACTCAACCATAAGAATAATGAAGATTATTAGGCTTCATACAATCTGCAGAAACAAATATATTCCATGGCAGATTTGAATATATTGCCATGCATGTGGCAGTCAATCAAACTGCCATTGTCAGATGGTTTTCCTAACCTCCCTCCCATGCATTTTTCTTTGAGACCCACGCTTTAGAGTACAAAACTATGGAGAGGGCTTGTATAAAGATTTTTTTGGGGGGGGGGCTACATTGACAGCCTTTATCAGCTGTGAAAGGAAAATGCTTTCTGCAAAAAAAATAAATATTTAATTATTTTGCCTCTGGCATTTCCAAAGATCAGGAAGGAAGGCCAGCAAATGTTTGCAGATAAAACCGTATACAGGCATTGATATGTTTGTCAACTTGTCCAATACCTTTTTTTAAAACTGACGATAATTGTTTCAGACATTTGAAAAGAAGAAAAGGCTAAAATGTCAAAGGTAATCAGTTCAATTCTAGGGTATTTCTCAAATGTAATTCTATATAAGTTCATCCATCTTAAATAGGTATCATCTTAGATATTTTTCATTTATCAGCTGTTTTTCTACTTGAAATTCTAACCTTTTCTGATAACTTATTTTTAATCAATTTGCTGCTAGTAATAGTTTTCAGGAAATGGTTTATACAGTCTTCCTCACAAAATTGTAGTTTTCTTTGCAAGTAGTCTTCAGCTAATAACCATTCAATCAGCATCTGTTCAAAGTTACAACACTGCTGAACGAGGAGACCTACAGCTGGTAGTTGAACTTGTGACTATCATAGTATCCCCATGGTCATGTGATTGTGATTCAGGTGCTTGGCAACTTGCTTGCAATTAAGATGGCCTCAGCATCCCATAGTCATGTGATCACCATTGGCGACCTTCACAGCTTCCAACAAGAAAAGTCAATGGGGAAATTGCCAGGAGAGAGCAAATGGTGATCATGTGATGTCATGCTTACCAACCACATACAGGATTTGTCTAATGACTGCAACTGGAACTTCTGAAATTGCAATCATTGGTTGGTGTGGTCACATGACATTGCATTTTATGGCTGTATCACTTAGTAACAGAGTTCCCTGTCCCAATTACCATTGTTAACCAATGACTACCTGTATTTCCACTGTATTAAAAAGGATAAAAGCTGTGCACACTATTTACACCAGTTTTCATTTTGCATTCTTATGTATAGTTGGCAGGACCTACACTAAAGTCAATTGGGCAAGAGTCATTCAGAAAACAGCTTATTTTAAATGTTTTAAAACAAAAAGGAAGATTGCAATAAAGCTGGAAAAAAAGATATGGATTTTCTATATGGTTTGTTGAATCACCATAGGATGCATTTTCCCTGGCTATTCATTAGGAAACTTTTCTTAAATCTACTTTCACTCTTTGAATAAGTTCTGGATAGATATTAACAACAAGCTCAACAATTACTATCTTCAACCATTTTAACAAACATTGCTCATCATTAATATGTTCTAGTGTCTCTCAGTAAAGCTGCACATCCCTATATTGCAGTGATGGCGAACCTTTTAGAGACTGAGTGCCCAAATTGCAACCCAAACCCCACTTATGTATTGTCGGGTGCCGGGTGGGCGTGGCCCATTTGGTGGGCGTGGCTGCGGTGATAACGGCAGACTGGGTGGGGCTAAAAAGTTCAATCAATCAATTCCAACTTTCGAGATCTTTTTTTTCCCTGCGAGAAGTTGAAATTGATTGATTGAACCTTTTTTTTTTTGCACACAGCGGCAGAGGCCTAAAGCAAAAAGGTTTTATAAAACCTAACTGAAGGCCTAGACCTGGGGCGACGGTGCATGTGCCCATAGAGAGGGCTCTGCGTGCCACCTGTGGCACGCGTGCCATAGGTTTGCCACTACGGCTATATTGCATCTAACCATCTTATCCTAACAATGTGGTTCATTTCAACATAGAGGAGATGAAAGTAGTTATTGTATTGACAGAAGGATGATAATGAAGCAGTGATGAAGGAAGAGGAATGCATACTGCATCATATATCTGTTGGACTGTAAATTGTGAAGCAAGCACTTCCTTTTCTTTGAACAGATTTAGTAGACTTTTGACAATTATCCTTTCAGGTCAAAATAGTTGACCAGGTAAGATGATTCTACATTAACCTTTAATGCTCCTTAGATGTAATGGGCCATATTTCTTAGAATTCATTCTTGGCTGAAGTTGATGTTGGTTAGGAATTTAGGAAGAAAAAGCCATCTATGTGGCAGCACCTAGCTGACCATGACTTTTTAAAAAACATTAAGTAGGATAGTATTTGGATGGGAGATCACAAAGGCCATTGATTGGACCAGAAAATTGAAAAAAAAAACACCCTTCTGGATAGAAAAAGACATACTAGTTCCATATTGTTGCTAAAAAGCGTCCAGAGATATAAGTTGTATATATCATTCAAAATATAGGTGTATACCCTAAACCAGTGGTTCTCAACCTGTGGGTCGGGACCCCATTTGGGGTCAATTGGCCATTTCACGGGGGTCACCAAGCAAGGCTGTCCGCCATTTTTTTTGTCCGCCATTTTTTTTGTCCACCATTTTTTCCCCTTTTCCGGCGGGTGCCTTACCTCCCTTGGGCTGGGCCAGCTGGTGGTCGGCCTGCTCCGTCTCTGCCACTTGCCAGCTACGCCTCGGCAGGCGCAGGGGGCGGAACCACGCATGCGCTGCGCTCCCGGGCAGGGAAAGTCCTCGACTTACGACCGGTTGGGTAGTCCTCGACTTACGACCGGTTTAGTCCTCGACTTACGACCGGTTTAGTCCTCAACTTACGACCGGTTTAGTCCTCGACTTATGACCGGTTGGGGTCGCGGCATTAAAAAGGTTGAGAACCACTGCCCTAAACTGAAGTATGCAATATTTTAAATGTATTACTGTGAAGTTGAGCCCACTGAAAACCGATTTGGTTGTAGGAATTAAGGCAATGGTCTAGAAACTGAGAGACTGTAAGTTCTAGTCCTGCCTTAGGCACAAAGCTAGCTGGGTGACCTTGAGCCATTTGCTTCTCTCAGCCCCAGGAAGCAGGCAATGGCAAACCACTTCCAAAAACCTTACCAAGAAAACTGCAGGGACTTGTCCAGGCAGTCACCAGGTTTTAGAACTGATTCAAAGGGGGAAAAAAGGAGGCCTACTAAAATAAAAGAATATAAGTATACAAAAATTTTGACAAGAATAGAAGGAAACATAGTCTTAATTTCTTCTGCATGAGCACAATCGATTAGCCAGTGATTGGGTTGGCAAAATAAATTTCCGTGCCTCATTTTTTCCCAAAATAAAACTTTGCACGTATTACTTTGAAAATCTGTTTCTGGCTCTCAATAGAGCATCAGGTTGTCACTTTACTTGTATCCTAAAAGCAGGACTTTTTTTTGTCATAGAACGTTCAGAACGGAGTTCCGGCACCTTTTTTGGATGGAACCTTGTAGGGTAGGCAAGGCGGGTTGTATGATGTGTGTGAGTTCTGGCACCTTTTTTTTCTTCAAAAAAAGCACTGCCTAAAAGGCTTCTCCTTTATAGGACTAACTTTTAACTCTGTCTCTCTCTCCAGGCATCCAAGCCACCACAAGCTGAGAAAAATGGCTTAAGAGGATTTGATGAAAAGGCCTACGTATCCTCAAAGCTGCTGAAGGCGGGAGAAGACCCTTATCGGCAACATGCTTTCAATCAGTTGGAGAGTGACAAACTGAGTAGTGACCGGCCCATTAGAGACACTAGACATTACAGGTACTGTAGTACAGATGAGTATGGATTGTAATCAATACTTTGTACCATGGAGTCTCTGTGACTTAAATTTTGGGCCATTTTAATTTTGAAAGATGGAAAAATATCTGTGTCCCACCAGAGAAAGGACTTCTCATCCTTAATGCAGGCTGTTTTATTTATTTTAACATCTGGATATAGTTAATGTAAGCATGTCATAGATTAGAAGATGGAAACATTATTTAACATTTAAGCAAATCTCTAGAAATATGATAATGTAATGAATTGGGCCAGATGGTTATGTATATTTAGTTTCTATTAAGGATCCTATTAAATAGTAACTAGTAAAAAGCCAAGTAATGAGCTTTTCTACACAATGCAAATATGCTCTGACAATACCATTATTTTTCTGCCCTGTCCCTATGTTGTTGCCTTCATCTCAGCTCCAGTCCCTGAGTGAAATAAACCAAACTTATCTTTAATTGGATCAGCAATAGAAATGTATTACAGTATCTTTTTTTATTTTGATATGGTCCAATGGTAAACTCAAGGTGCATATACAATCTGCAGGCTTTGTCATTTATCATTTTGGAGGAAAATCAGGTGATTGGCAGTAACTGGAAACAGAAGCAATATAGGCAGGGTAGGAACTGACAGTGGAGATGCCCAATTTCATGCCAGTATAGCAGGGGTCCCCAACCCCTGGTCCCCAGCCTGGTATTGGCTCACAGCCCGTTTGGAACCAGGCCGCACAAGTGGTAGGTGAGCATGCGAAGTTCCATTTGCTCATGCACAGAAGTAAGTTGCATGTGTGAAACCATCCCTGCCGCTGCCACCACCACCTGATGTCGCCACTGCCGGACAGCGGCGCTGCTGCAGTATAGTTTTCTGCTGACTCAAGAAAGGATGACAAACTCTGGAGAAAGGGTCAAGGAATTGTAATTGCCTGAACAGTTTATCTAATCTTTCTTCCTGGAATTGTAGTTTACCAGCTATATAATATATATAAAAAAATCTCTGCTGTTGTTTTTTAAAGAGCTAATCTAAAATCATGGTGACTCTTCTATTCTTTTGCTTTATAAGAAAGATTTTTCAATATTTTTAGCCAAAGAAAGAACAGCCCATAAAATGACTGAAACTCTCTAGAAAAGGAAAACCATTTTTAAAATGTGCCCTGAGGTAACAAAATTTCTGCCTCATCACAATTAAGCAATCCAGCTTTACAATTGTAAATGATAAATCATCAGAAGTTTCTAACTTCTGAGCTGAAACAAGGGCTGTTGGTCTTTTCTCGCTGGCCCTTTACTCGTGGCTCAAACACGGAAACTTCATCTCCTCCCAGCCTGTGAATAAAACAGGCTTACATTACCTTATGAATTTTTAGCAACGTGAAGCCTTACCTGAAGGTTTGGCACAGTATACCCTTTGTGTATCTCAGCCCTGGACTAGTCAAGTGAGGCTGTTATCCCAGGGTCTGGAGGCTATGAGAATGGGGGGAACAAACTCAGGCTCATCCTTGGGAAAACGGAATGTCTGTGTCTATTTAGACCACCCAGTCTCAGAGACTTTCTATCTTTATTTCTGAATTGGACTGTACTTCCCCTGACAGAATTGGTGTATGATTTGGGGAGTTTCCTGGATCACTGTTCCTGCTTGAGGAACAGGTGGCAGCTCCCTTATTCTGAAGATCTCAACAGGAATGCCATCCTGCCTTGTTCTTTTATTTGAGCTCATCTGCAAGTTTCCTGATCTCATCAGCAGAGGGAGGCAGATCCAGGGCATACAAGATTGGCAGCTGTAAGACATCATGGTCAATTGTGGACAGGCTATTGAGTAAATTGGGAAAATGTTCAGCTCAGTGGTTTTTCAGTCTTTCCTGGTCTTCGGTCAGGTTCGACCCATTCAATGAGAGCAAGGGGAGCATCCAGATTTAGAAAGATCATAAAACTGACTTTATAGCACTGAAGGACTCTGTGGTGGTACACACACCTGCACAATGTTCCACCTTCTCTGCTTTCCTGTGCTGCCAGCCTTACTTGCAGTGCTGTGTGTGCTTTGGACTGTGGGTACTTAAACTTGTCTTTCTTTGAGACAGATGATGGATCATTCTGCCAGTCTGCCTAGGCCTTGTTCTTGACCTGGAGGGCTGCTGAAATGGTTTTGTGGTTTTCATCAAACCGGTCTGGATGGACCCAGGTTTTCAGTCCAAGTATAGTTGTTGCAGTCTGTGTGATGACATCTTTAAATTGTGCCCACTTTTCACAACAGGTTTCTAGAAGTGGTAAATTGCTGGAGTGTCTTATGGCCTGGGCCTGGGTAGTTTCTGCCCATCATGTATAATGGGTTGTAGTTGGCATGCTTTGGGTCCCATCAATTAAATGATGGATCTTCTCTGACTCTGTGCCTGCAGTCTGGAACAGCCTTCTCCCAGACATTGGTATGGCACCTATTTGGCCCTTGTTTACATAGACTCTAAAAATCAGGTGTTTCCCTCCAGGCCTTGGCAGACCTTTAATGGGAATGCTTTATATTTGGGGTGTACACTTTATTGTCTTTCTGACATTTATTGCTCATTTTTGTTATATTGTTTTGAACTCTTTCTAATACTATATACCACCCCCAGTTGTTATGGAACCAGTCAGCTTTAGACAATTAACAAAAGTGCAAAACAAAGAATCGCTTCCTAAAATGCAACTGACTGAAGTTATTTTGGATCAGCCATGGGGCTAACAATAATCCAAAAAGGTAGGTCCTCGTACCAATAATTTTGCAACAAATTCTTAGGAATTATTTTTCTGCAACATCTCTGTTTATCATACAACTTTGTCACAGGGGGAGTCTCCTTTGAGCTCTTGTTTCAGCTGTGACAGCATCAGAGAATTCCTCAGAACATCTAGGCTACCTCAGAATTAATTCAAATTATACTTTGGATTCTATATTCACAGCATAGCTACATAGCCAGACATTTTCCCTTTTTATAGAGTTTGCTGCCATAGATTGTGCTCAAATTGGAGACCATTTATAAGTTCTAGTCTAGCCTTAGGCATGAAAAATCAGCTGGGTGACTTTGTGGGCCAGCTGCTCATTTCACAGTTGTTGTTATGAGGAGAATAGGAGGAATAATAAATACTGGCATATTTGCTACCTTAACTTGTATATGAAAAGGAGGATTAAACAAAACCAGTTGCCCATTCTTGCAGGTTGGCAGGTATGCTGTAGTTCAGGTATGCAGCCTTGGCTTTGCATGACAGAAGTTGCAGGTTTAATTCCTGGTTTCTAAGAAGAACTCCAGTCAAAAATCTGGGTTGCTTTGCTTATCAGAGTAGACAATAGGCTGCTATTCTAGAACATGGGCTTCTGAGAAATTATCTGAAGCTAGCATTGGGTTACTTTTAAAATCCCTTTAAATAGGGATAGATAGATAAAAAATATCTATCTGGATATTTTAGGCTTCAGTTCCCCTAATTTGCAGTCAACATGAGCATTTAACATTTTTAAAGTATATTTTATTGATTTTTTAGAATAACAATCTTTAGTGCTTAGTAAACAACATGTTGTCTGGGTTCATATATTTAACAACAGTCAATAATAGTTAATTTCTATACTTTCATAATCAACTTATTAACTAGAAATACTTTTCCTAGTCCTTTCTTCTTCCAATAGTGTTCTCCTTTTACCAACATTAAGCAAATATAATTCTTAATACTATTAATACATACAAATTTAAGTATAAACATTTTTCTAATATTTCACAATAACATCAGTATGTAATGTCTTTTCTAATCAGCTTATTTTACAGTTGCATTTGCACAAAATTATCTTATGTAAATCACTATAGGTCCTGTTTTCAGAACTCTTATTTAAGCTTAGTTTCCCCTCAGTAATCAAAACATTTCTTGTCAGTTATGGTTTTCTCAAAATTGATTGTATTTAAATATCCAAAATATTTCATACATTTAAATCATCCCAATATTTTTACATTTCCCATATCATAAAAAAGAAAGAAAAAAAATACTATACAACTTATAAATCACATTTCTCTTACTGTAAACCTCTTCATTTCCAAAATTTAATTATTCTTTTAATCATATTTAGACAAATGCTTGGTCATATGATACTCCATCTGGTATGTCAAGTCATCTCTCTTAAGTCTGGTTCTCGCCTGTTCTTATTTAAGCTTAGGTTCCCTTCAGTATTTAAAACATTTCTTATCAGTTATAATTTTCTCCAAGTTGATTAGTTTTCTCCAAGTTGAATATCCAAAACATATCATTCATTTAAATCATCTCATTATTTTTACATTTCCCATATCAGAAAGCAATACTATATTACTTATAAATCACATCTCTCTTACTATAGAACCCATTCGTATCCAAAATTTAACTATTCTTTTAACCAGTGCTTTTTTTCTAAAAAAAAAAAAAGGTGCCGGAATTCACACACGTTATACAACCCGCCTTGCCTACCCTACAAGGTTCCATCCAGAAAAGGTGCCGGAACTCCGTTCTGGGCGTTCTATGAGAAAAAAAGCCCTGCTTTTAACCATATTCAAACAAGTGTTTAGTCATGTGGTACTCCATCTGATAAGTCAAATCATCTCTCTTGAGTCCGGCTCTCGCCTTCTTCTCTTGCTTAGCAGCTTTCCAAGTCAGTGTATTCAGCTTGTCATATGATTCTTCCTGTATTTTTATAGGTGTTGTTAGGAATGGGAAAAACAAACTGAGTAAGGTGCTTTTGAGGGGGAGTTTTGCTCATTCATACTTGTTAAGAAGCTTCCACTTTTCTTCTCTCTCAATTTCTCCTTCCATTTTTTGTCTCCCAGACTCTAGTAGTTCTCCTGACAGCTCTATTGTCCATTTTATCAAATCTTCTTTCTTGACTTCAGGTTTGTTTTGTTGTTCTGAAAAATGAAATATCTCTTCCGTTTCCAATATTATAGCAAAATCTTGTAATTTTTTCTTTGTCTGTGTTAAGTTGTGGTTTTCTTTATTTGTAGCCTCCAAATCACTTTCCTCTAGTTTTTG